TGGTTCAGGGTCTAATCTGAACCAGTAAACCAGGACCGGGTGGTTCAGGGTCTTCATGGTTTCAAGCTGGAGCTTTTAGACAAACTGCTACTTTCTTGATGTGTGAAACTGTCTTTCTAGCTGGCAAAGCTCACGCGTGTGCTTCATGGAACAACACAGTGTTTTTAGCGTTTATCTCAGCTGCTGTGGACATCTGTCAGTCAGTGCAGTAACTGCTCCTGTTGTCCTCCAGGTGGCGTCGGTTCGAGTGTCCCTGTCTGTCTGCAGCTGACAGAAGAAGACTTGGAAGCCAACAAGCTGGACCCCAAAGAGGTTCTAACTTCAAGTCATTCAGCATCAGACATCCGCCTCCACACGTTAACATCTGTCAGCATCTGTCCACATCACAGTCAGTCCATATAAACCAACCAAATCTGGACAAAGTAGGAATATTTCCAGAGTTCCAGGCCCTTGAAGTCCACAGAGGAGGGTCCAGATTGATCACCTTAATGGACTTTTCCTCAGAACTTCATCAGGGCAGCAGATAGACACACTAAAGTCACTGCAGATACAAAGTCAGCTGGTCATTTTTCGTGGACTGACCCTTCAGTCTCAATGTGTTTCTGCAGGTGGACAAGAACCTGCGGGAGACTTCTGATGACAACCTGATGGAACATTCCCAGAAGAACTTTGGTTCTGATCCGGTTCAGACCAGCAGCCTCCTTTACCATCAACTGCTGCACAGCTCTGAGGTACGACTGCTGCTTCAAACTCAGTCTGCTGCTAAATGAACCCAGTAACCTGAGATCTGCTGGTGTCCCTCCTCAGGCTGAACTCGGGGTCTTTGTGGATTCTACTTCAGCCTCCATCCACCACCTGCCCAAACAGCAGAACCTGCCCCAGAGGCCCACCAGCCTCCACCTGCTGCCCAAAGCCAAGGACAGCAGCTCCGCCTCGTCTCGGCTGAAGTTGGGAAAGTTCAAGTCAAACCACCGACAGGTACCAAAGGATTTAATGTGATCGGGTCAGACGGGTTCTCCATCAGGATCTGTTTCTGATGATCTGACAGGTTCAGTGTCAGACAGCAGGACTAGATCCTGGTGCTGAAACACTGCTCATGTTCTGGACGTCTTTCAGTCAACCTGCTGCCTTTACTACAAGCTTTGACAGCAGAACCGCTGAGGGTCTGTTCAACTGGACCAGTCCTGTTTTCTAGTTATAAGACCTGTGAATCCATGACTGTATTATGTGTGTTCCCTCCAGCCTGTCATCCTGATGCTTCCCCAGTCCTCCACATGCTCTCCTAGTTTCTATGACTAGATCTCAGACTCCGTTCATCTTTTTCTAGCTTTTTATCAGTTGTAGCAGCAACTCTGGCTGTCATGCACTTGAAGCTTCACTTAAATCAGTGTGAAGATATCTTGAGCTGCAGATGAAGCGTTACCATGTTGATGTTTGGCTGCAGGTCTTAAACCTTCTGAAGCCTCAAAGCTCTGCTGAGGTTACTCCTCCTTTCAGAGTTAGAGCATCCACTCCAGAAAGAACCCGAAGAGACGTCCAGCTGCTTCTCCACTCAAACTCTTTGGATTATCATGAACTTGATGATGGTGGGATCAATGAGACTGATGTTTAGCTCCGCCTACATCAGACACTAACACCAATAAATTCACGCTTGTTGGGATTAAATGCTTGGCGCTGGAACCGCTCCGTCCTGCAGGTCCGTCACTTTACCTGCCTCACTAATGTGCTGTCTGTCTTTCAGGTGGAAACAGGTGTTGCTAAGATGAACACGGTGACAGTCGTCGCGGCTGCAGAGCCTCACCTGGTTACCACGGTTACCAACAACACAAGAAGCAGTGCTGCAGTTGGGAAAGAAGTCAACACTGTCACGGTGGTCGCCAGCGGCTACAGTGCAGGCGTCCCCACCCTGGTGACCAACGGGATGATCGGCGGAGGTCGGACCAACCCAGCTGGACCGCAGGTGGAGGACGAGGACAAGGTGGAGGACGCAGCGAGCAGAGAAGACAACCGCCTGAATCTGCTCAACTTCAGTCCTGATGAACACGAACCCCTGCTGAGCAGAGAGCAGCCGCCTGCCGAGAGCGAACCTCTTCATCATCATCATCATCATCACGGCCGAGCTGGAGGCCTCCTGTCCGGACGAGGATCCAACACCAACAACAACAACAACCGGCTGGCTCCGCCCTCACAGGTGAACGTCCAGGGTTCAGAGGTGGAACCTGAAAGGACGATGCCCTCCGAGGTCCGAGGAATCAGCAGTTCTGAACCTGAACCACAACCAAGCAGTGGACCTCCTACCACTGTACATGGTAAGAACCAGGGCTCAGATACTGGCCTCCAGAATGCTGCACCATCAGTGCTGGCCCCCGGATACACCCAGTGTCCAGAAGATCAACCGGCCCCCTCTGCTGTCCCTGCTGAGGCCCCTCACTGCAGAGATTCTGCTTCAACAAAACCTTCAGAAGCCCAAACCTCATTTTCAAAAGAGACACTAACCCTCCCTCAGAAACCTGCACCACCAGAAACTCCAGATCCAGCATCCCCAACATCAGCTCCAGGAGCTGCAGCCTCAGGTCCAGAAGCTTCCTCCCTGGAGATGTCAGAATCTCCAGGTTTGGAGTGTCAGGATTTAGAAACCACAGCTGTTGGAGAAGCTTCAGTTCCAGTACCTGCAGCTCAAAAAAGTCCAGCCTTAGAACCCCTGACACCAGTTCTGTTGCAGTCTCAGGTGGGACAGACCAAAGCCAGGAGGCCTGAGCGTCCCTGTTCTCTGGACCTGTCGTCCTCCTGCATCTCCTCAGGTGAGTCCAGCTTACTTATTTACTTTTGATGAAGTCCTGTGACGGACGTGTTTCTTCACATCTCACATTGTTTTGTTATTTATGACCATAAAGACAAACCAGTATTATGTAGAGTTTGTCCTGTGGGAGACATGTCATCAATGCTCTCCTCCCCTCAGAGGATGTTCCTGGGATGGATATCGGCAGTCTGAGCGCCTCAGGAGAGAAAATAAAACGCCGTGTCAAGACTCCATACACTCTGAAGAAGTGGCGTCCAGCCTCGTGGGTTGTCTCCACCGACACAGCCCTGGACCCGGACTTTGACTTCAACTCCACTAGCAGCACCAGCCACCTCCCCGGTGGTCTTCACAGAGCAGGAAGCCTCGGCATCCCCAGAATCAACCAGTCCAAATCCAGCATGGCCGTGTTTCTGGTCGGAGGCGGAGCCACGGCGACCACGACCTCCGAGCCCGACGGGATGACCTGCTTCTAAAGTCTGATCACAGGTTCCTTCTTTTCTTCGTGTTTCTTTGTCTTCCCTCTCTTCTGTTGTGAAAAATCACAGTTAATTGCACCATTTGGCATCCCCAGTCAAACCAAAGGCTCCGGACTGCAGCGAGGATGAAAACTTTCTGACCAAATTCACAGGACATGAAGTCAAACCCACTTTGAGATGTGTTCATGAAGTTTGGGCATTTTTTTCTGAAGGACTCCTGCTGATCGACAGTTTTACCTTCATTCAGCCTGAAGACCTGCGATGTCCAGAATATTTTGAAGATTCTCTCACCTCCAGATGTTTGCCTCCAGTCCCAGCTGTTCTTCTGACTGCCAGGTGTGGTCAGCTGTTTGTGGGTGTGGCCTAAAGGTCTTCACGGGTCCACCTGGGACCAGATTTTGTTCAGTGTGATCAAGTCTGCTGTTACTGCTGTAGGTCATGGTTTGTGTTTTGATATGTCCAATACCTGAGTGGGTGTGAACGGAACAGCGTGTTTTAGGCTTGACAGGAAGTCTGTTGAGGTTCAAGGATCAGCTCCTGATCCAACAGCTTCGACTGTGACGTTAACGCAGAGCGACCAGAACAACGACATGGTTGCTGGACTGCAGCTCTGTGTAGGAGCTAGAATAATGTTGGTTTGTTATGTTAGCCTGGGGATGCTAATTTAAACCCTTTTATTTACCAGTAAGCATTAGCAACAGCAGCATTATCGATCAAATGATTAATCAATATGACCTTGAATTGAATTCAAGTGGACTGTTATCCAGATGCTGCTATCAGCCTTTAACCACCACCTCATATGGTTAACACCTCCATGACCCTGGCAGGCTCCTGCTAGCCTTAGAATAGGTCAGCTGTGGTTGGAGGCCGTTCACTTTGTCGTGGTGCTGTTGTTAGCAGAACTCCCACAGTGAGATCTTTGCTCTCGTCATGCAGGCCTTTGTGCTGCTTTCTAACCTGCTCATGTTGCTGTGAACATGTGGAGCTGCAGGTCAGAAAACTCTCCAAAATGAAGTAAAGAACTGCCAGCAGCCTCCAGACAGCGACACACGGTGCAGCTCTGGTTTGTGTCCTGGACCTGCTGGTGGTGCAGCAGGTGGAACAGGACGGTCACATGTTACCATACGTTGGTCTTTAAGCAGATGAGTGAATGAGCGTTGGAGTGCAGCGAAGCAGGTCGGTCTCTAGAAGTGAACGTTTGTTGGCTTTGGACCAGTGAATGGCAGTAAAGTCCTGCAAGTCCTGAAGTCAAACCGTTTTTGTTTTTAAAGTGCTGATTCGGCTCCTCTGGCTGACACCTGATCAGATGACTGGGATCAGTGTGGAGCAGCTGCTTTGCTTTAAGTCCAGTTCATGATCTGCACATAAACCTGAGAAGAAAAAGGACAAACTAAGTTCTGATCCACAAGTCTGTTTCAGGTTTTCTCCCACCTGCATGGTGATGTTGGATCTTTGGAACATTTATTGAAATGAAAGAGAAGTTTGTAGGAAAATGAGGGTTTGATGAAACCTTTCAACACCTCAGCACAGACTGAGCTGCTGGGCAGGAGACACCAAGGGTTAAACCTTCAACCTGTGTCTGATGGAGAGGACGAGACAGTACAACGGAGCACAACACGGAAATACTCAAGTCAAACACCTGAAAACTGCACTTAAGTACAGTACTCGAGTAAATGTACTTTGTTACTTTGTGCTGCTGTTGGCTGATGAGAGGATTTCATCAAACTGTACTGAAGCACTTTAATCAAAGTGAATGTTGTTCAGTGAAGTGAGGAACAGCTTGAGCAGGAACAGTCAGAACAGTGACTCCACTATGATATGTTATATATATGTTACATATATGTTACATATGCAGCAGCTTTCATGCCTCCTGAAGTTCACCGTCTGCCACAGGCTGAAGAACTTTGTTCTGGTGGTTCCTTCATGACGCAGTTTGAGGGTAGAGATGGAATAAACAGGAACAAGTGTGGAGAACAAATGAAAAGAGAGACGAGCCATGAAGCCTCCTCAGGTCTCAGCACCGCCTGGAGCTGGAGCTCTGTGAGGAGTCAGCAGCTGAAGGACGACGTGACCCAGAAGGTGTCAGTGCTGCAAGTTCAGCTGTTGAATCCATCTGAGAAACTACTGATCCAGCTGAGGAGAGTCTGATGTTTATCAGCGTGTTTCAGAGCTGAACTTCAGGTGGTTTCTGATAGAGATCTGGACCAGCCTGAACTCCAACCACATCAGAACACAGTCAGAAACAACAACTTGAGGGAACCCTGAAACCTCCCAAGAACTCCAACTGTGTGAAAACCACCTGATCAAAGCTTGAAATGCTGATATTTTAACAAAATCACTTTATTCTGGATTTCTCAAAACCTAAACCGTTTGAATGAACCAGGTTCTGTAGAACCAGAACCTTCCTCCTCCTAGTTCTGATCCGTGCTGCATCTATTCATTGATCCAGTAGGATGGATTCTCCTTCAGTCTCTCTGAGGAAACTCTCTGAATGTTTCCTGTTGGTCACAGCTGGGTCAGTGGTGGAGGATCAGAACCAGGAGGAGGAAGGTTCTGGTTCTACAGAATCAGAACCAGGAGGAGGAAGAACAGAGGAGCCAGTTGTTGGCGATACATTCAGCATGGTGGAACATCTTCCTACATCTGATGGTGGAACATCTTCCTACATCTGATGGTGGAACATCTCTCTACATCAGATGAGCAGAGAGGAGAAGTGTGGAGACATGGAGGTAGCTGAACTACATTTATGACTGTGTGTTGTGGAACTTTTTGTTATTTTGAGTCTGTCAGCAGATGTTTGGGGTTTGTTCCTCCTGTAGCACATCTGGACTGACTGGATTCAGACTCCTGATGAAGGTCAAACATGAATGACTGTATTTTTATAAGTTGTGTGTTTGAAACTTGTGGATCAGCTGTCTGTTCCTTCCTGTCCCCAACATGCTGAACATCCAGCAGGACGATGGAGTTAAACTGGAATCCAGTCTGACCAGTGGATCCTTACAGTTTCTAACCATTTATATTTTTTATGTTATTATTCACAAGTTTTTAAAAAATAAAAAAGCCACGTTTTTTGAATGGAGTTTGGTTTGACATTCTCAAACCAAACAGGAACAAATGGAGGAGGACGGATTCCTTTTGTTTTTCTAAGGACCTGAGGTCTGAATGGCTGCGTTTATACACACGAGTTGTGAACTTTCAGATTTGTATTTGTGTGCTCGGTGTGTAACAGCTCCTTTAACGTGCAGTATGTAGTGAAGCCTTACACCCTCCTGATGATATCAGTGTGAGCACAGATCCTCCTGTTCCTTTACTGCCTTTATGATGCCTTTTACAGCAGACTTCTGTGTGTTTTCTACACTTTGTACTGTTTTTACCTGCTGATGTGTGCAGGCTCAACACTTCTGGCTTTGCATCATGAAATGTGTGGATGCAGATCTCCGACTGCTGGAAGAGGATAAACCAAACCAGGAATAACCTGAACACGGCTCAATCGACTGAACGCGGTCGTTAATTAACTGGTTTAAGAACCTCTGAAGAATAGAATAACAGTGAGATGAGAAAAGGAGCTTTAATGCATTAATGGAAGACTGTTCAAACTGCAGCTCCTTGTTTCTCTAGTTGTTGTTGCTCCAAGATGCAGTTTAATCTGTGATGATGTTTTTCCACACTGACTGTTCTGCTTCATGTCTGTTGGCAGTGATTTGGAGTTCAGTGTCAGAAAAACACACAACTGTCGACAGCCTGGAGACCAAATAGCTGCACCGCTGCTGGTTGCAGAACAATATGGTCCACGTTTAACCGGACCTGTTCTCTGTGGTACAAAGATAACGGCAGCGGGTCGGTGGCTCATGTTAAATGTGGCCAGAGGTTCAGATAATTTGGTAAAAATATTCAAAAGCTGTAAAACTTTTAAGTAAAAACTGTCAGACAGAAAGGTGTGGTTATTCTTTGGTAACGTTGGTGCAAATTTGCAACCAGCTCATATCACAACCTTCTGGCCGGCTGTGTCCGAGCAAATCCACTTTCTTTATAGATCACCTTTTCAAAGTGCTGCACGTGTTATAAAACAGGACAAAACTGTTCAAATCAGTCTGTACAATAGAGTAAATACATATAAATGCTAAAATAAAAATAAAAAAGAGACAGAAGAGGAGACAAACTTGTTAGATCAAATTCTAAAATATAATAGATATGAAATAGTAAAACGTTAAACTTGAGTTTTTCCTGTAGCGGGACGACAGCGCGGCTCTGAGTGACTACATCATAGGTTCCCTTTAATACTAATGCAGTTTGTTAAGCTAATTAAAACAACAAAACAATGTTTGTATCTCATTTTATTATTATTTGTAGAAAAACACTAAAAATAATGAGCAAGCTAACAGTTCCACTAGTTTAGCTCATAGCTCATTAACAAAAAAAGCCAAACTATCGCTGATAGCTGGTTCAGTTGTGGAATAGTTATTTTCCATGGTGTGACTGACTTTAAACTGACCAACAGGAGCTTTTGTTTTAGTCATTTGGTGAGCTGATGATGTCATTTCCTGTAGCTGAGACGGTGTCACATGACGTTTAACCTCCTGCATGAAGCTTCACTCACGCGTCCAGCAGCTCAGACAGTCTGTAGATAGAAGCCTGATATTAGCCTGGAGGTTCGTCTGTTGGTGATTCTGTGTATTCATGTGTATTTATGTACGATAGCTTCCAGTAGTGTAAATACTCTGTGTACATCCCTGCACACTGTGTGCTTTGCTATGGGACCGACCACCATGTTAGTGTTGTATTGTGCACACAGCTCCACCCGTCCTACTGCTGGCCCACATGCTGCATGCTCACTCCATCCACACGCTGTATTTCCATGTAGAGGGAACACTCCAGTACCGCTGGCTTTAGCTCATCATCAAATAATAAAGTGAACATTATCCAGAGTGTCCACGTCTTTCATTTCTAACGTCTAAACCTTGATTCAGGAAGTAGTGAAGGCTGCATGCATAGAAATAATAACGGTTACCATGTGAGTCAGAAGACAACCTGTAATAAACTGATTACTAATAATAATCCTTCATCACTACTGTGTCTCTGTAGAAGTACTGCAGTACCTGGAGTTCCACGAACATGCTGAACTACTGAATGGATCCTTCTCATTTACAGCTGACTTCACAGTATTATCCACAAAGTCAGTGTGTTTAGCAGTGAGAGGAAACTGTTAAAATGCCTCGTTTTTGAAATGGAGTTTGGTATGACGTCCTCTGACACATCAGCAGGTCGAGTTCCTCTGTGTTTGTACTATATTATCTGTGCACGTGTCATTCGACATGAACGACAGAAGAGTGAATGATTCCCAGACATAAGAACTTTTAAAAAAATAGTATTTGTAATCCGTAGGATAACTTTTAACTGTCAGTTCAATAACTGATAAACTTCTTCAGGGAGTTTGTAATTTCCACTTCAGTCCTGTGCAGTGATTTGTGGTTAAGCAAAAGATAATAAATGCATTTGGTGTAATATTGCTGACACTTCATTACGTGTAGAACCGGATCAAAGAGTGGATCGTTTTCAGACGCTTCACTTTTATCGTCAACAAGCTGTTTACATGTAAAAGAGGCAGAACAAAGTTAAAAGTGTCGGTTTGGGTCGCTGCTTTAGCTCCCATGTGCAGGGCTCCAGTCCCCGATGCAGCAGCCGTGGGTTCGAGTCCCGCTCATGGCCCTGTGCTGCAGCTCCTCACCCACCGTCCTGTCGCTCCGAAAGAATAAAGGCTAAAAAAATAACTTAAAAAAAGTTTGGGTTTGTGAATGGAGTTTGGTTTGAGGCTCAGGCGACGGTACTTTTTACAGTGACGATAGCACCGCCCAGCGGTGGAATCAACACACTGCAACATGTCAAACGACGGCGACCTCAGAGGGTCAAAACACTCGGTAATAGAGTAGGAAAAAAAGCGAAACAACGAAAACCTTAGAGGAATAAAAAGAGGTTTAATAGTATAGACAGTTTTGAGAACGACTGAAGAAGAGAGTAATTAAATCATTAAATCACATCCAGTCATTAACAAACCTGCAGAGGAAGTCTGTTGTAAACACAGACTGTGATCCAACTCCAACCAGCTGGGGGCGGCAGAGAGGCACCAGGTCACCTCTGATAGGAGAAGACGAAGAAGAAGAAGAAGAAGAAGAAGAAGAAGAAGAAGAACAAGAACAAGAACAAGAAGAACAAGAAGAACAAGAAGAGTTTGTTTCGCCATTTGTGAACCAAACCGCCCGGACCGGCGGCTGTATGGCCCGCACACGGAGGACAACATGTCGGACTCGGTGAGTCAGCGGTGGCTAACTGCTAATGTAGCTGCAGCACCACTAGCTTGTTGCTAGCTGCTAGCTGTTAGCTGTTAGCTGCAGCCTGTGTGTTCCGGACGGACTGGAGCTGAATGAACGGTACAGTTGTTCAGCAGACAGCCGGCGGGTTACCGGGGCGGCAGGACGGTAGAAGCTCATACAGGAGGCGGATAAAAAGGCCTGGAGGTCGTTTACAAGCCCTTTGAGCATCGTTCAGAACCCATGTTCCGTCCACTGAGACGTGACGTAGCTAGTGAGGTCGCTTCCAAAGTTCCCGCCTCTGAGTCCAAGTCACAACAAAGATGGCGGCCGGTGTCGGAGTTGAGCTGGAGTCCAGATTATCTGGCGACAGCAGCAGGACCGACACAGAACCACCCTGTAAACCAGTCAGAACCACAGGATCAGTCCGCACGCTGTCAGAACCACCGTCTGTAATAAAATGTTCACGTTTAATGAGCTGCGGTCACGGTTCTAATTAGAGAACCACTCAGACTGATTCATTAAAAACATAGCTGGAGATTAATTGAACATAACTAATTAAGTGGCTGATTAATTGTTGCTGTTCTAATTAATAAATGGCAGCTGCTTCTGTAGCGTCAACGTCAACGTGTCTGATGGAGTCACATCAGTGAATAAACGATGTTTATGAGGCGTGTCTGGTTCCGTGTGGTGAGCTGTGATCGGAGTCCTGTAGAGACAAATCCGGATCATTTGATATTCAGGACGGTTTGTCGTCGTTGTTGTTGTTGCCTGACCACTAAAACCTTGAACCCTGGTCTGTTTCTGCAGGAAGTGAAACCGTCCAATCAGGACAGCGAGGAGAAGAAGGAGGGCGAGTACATCAAGCTGAAGGTCATCGGACAGGTGAGGCTGTGTGGGAAGGTGAGCCCTGGAGGTCTGGGCCCGTGGTGGTTTGGGTTTTTCAGCACAGCATCACTTACATGAACTATTTTCACTAGAAAATAAAATGTTATTTATTACAGTGAAAACCATAAACATGCTGAATGAAGCATTTTGAAGGTTGAAGATGTAAATTTGATATAAAATCAAACTAAATAATATTTTCCACTGAACACGAAGCCGGCCGGCTTTCTTCTCTCTGTATCGATGCCACTTGGAGGCTGCGTGTCCTCAGACTGTCTTTCACTTTCATTTTGTAGAACGACTAAAACAGGTGGAGATGTTGTGGGAGAATCAGTGTTCCAGGTACTCAAAGGGGGCGGGGCCACACTTGTGCAGACCCGCAGGATGCACGTTCAGGACCGCCCTGCTGGGACCCTCCAGACTGACTCGTTTTATTTAGGATCCGGGTTTTTGCTGATGTCTTCATGTGCTGTTCTGAGCTAAACCATCCTTTAAACCTGAGCTCATGCTCATGGTGATCCCCCAGGACTGGGGTGGCGCTGTCTTGAAAGAAAACACGGCTCTGAACATGCGGTCCGGTCGGAGCGGTCCCAGTCCTGAGCGCAGCCTCCGGGTCTGCAGATCTGCGGGTTTGTGTTCCCTCTGCTCCGTCTGACAGGACCATGTGTTCCTCCGCAGGACAACACAGAGATTCACTTCAAGGTGAAAATGACGACACACCTGAAGAAGCTGAAGGAGTCGTACAGCAAGAGACAGGTGAGCTCCTCACACTCAGGTGTTCGTGTTCTCCTGTGAGGACCAGACTTCTGACAACCGGGTTAAAGCCGGACTTTATTTTGGTGTCGAGCTGCCTTCACAAGTACAGACATGTTTATGGACGAAGGACAAAGTGCTTCATTCAGAAGTATTCAACACATTAGTTCACAGTGAAGACGTCAAATGAAAGCTTGTCTTTTCTCAGGGTGTGTCCTCCAGTTCTTTACGATTCCTGTTTGAAGGAAACCGAGTCTCAGACCAGCACACACCAAAAGAGGTAACACACACACACTCTGACAGGGGACATCGGTTCTGATCCGTGATGCAGCAGACTTCAGTGCTTTGTGTTTGTGTGACTGCAGCTGGGGATGGAGGACGAGGACGTGATCGAGGTGTATCAGGAGCAGACTGGAGGATGTGAGCAGCTTCTCACCGTCTGGTGGAGCAGCTGGTCTCAGAGGACAGCGGCTGCCCTACATGGACACTGAGCCCGCCGTCGGATTAGAACCTGAACCGGGACCAGTCTTCACACAGAATGGACGCTTGTGTTTTTATATGTTTGTACGTTTAAACTTGTATATTTTGTATAAAAGTTTGATGGTCTGTGTTTGAGGAAGCGGCTTTTCTCAATGAAATAAATGTCAGTGGAACAAACTGGACGGAACCACGTCTGAGTTGTGAGTGTCTGCAGGGCTGGAGATGGACCGTTAGATGGGAACAGAGCCAAGAAGACTCGTAACTCTGAGGAAATGGGGAACAAATGACTCGGCCGACTGGTCAGCAGAGGACTGCAGCCACAGCTGTGGTGACGGGTCGGGGATCAGCAGTCGGACCTGCTTCAGACCATCTGGTGACTTTAGGACATAAACGTGTGCTTTGCTGTAGACGTGACAGAAGGTTCTGGTGGACTGTTGGAGCTGCTGCTGTGGCGGCTTCAGCACAGGAGACACGTCGCAGGCGCACATGAAAGGACCGACACTGGTCATGTGAACGTTATTTATATGTTTGGCCTGTTTTTGTTTTGTTAGTTTTTTACAGTCAACATGTTTGTTTTTTTTTTTTTTTTAATTATCTGTAATTTAACAAAATGGTAAAATAGCACCAATCAACAGTCATTGATGGTGTGAAGTCAGTCTGTCTTCTGCTTCAGTGCAGCGTGTGTGTTTCCAGTAGAAGCTACTGAAGGTTTCAATGTGGACGTTTCATAGTTTTGACCTTTTTGTTGTGTCACATAAAAATTCTTTTTATCTGTAATTTAACTAAATGAAAAACCTGCCGAGTAACGCGAAGACGTCAGTAGGCCTGCGTCACTCCAGCCACGTGATTGGCTGAAAGTTTCCTGTTCAGCTGGTACAGAGCAGATGATTGGCTGGAGGGGGGCGTGTCTGTAAGCCCCGCCCACACCATCAGCACCATTTTCTTCTGCTGTTTGAACTGAAGCTTCATGTTCAGTTTGAAGGCTCTGACCGTTAAGCAGCTGGTTAAAGTCTGAGTTAAGCAGAGCTGTTTGTGAAGCTGCAGATGTTTCTGCCGGTGAGGTCGGTGCTTCACGATGAAACCTGAACCAGCAACAGGTGAGATCAGCTTCAGCTCAGTGTCACAGATGATGTTCTGGTCCAGAAGATAAGACCCAACATAGATTTCCCCGCATAAAATGCATCCATATCACTTTAAACGCGACATGGAATCAGACGGGCTGCAGGTGTCGGTGGTTAGCACCGTTAGCACCGTTAGCACCGCCGCAGCTAGAAGGTCGCCGGTTCACGCCCCGGTGAGGACACCCGGGATCTTCCTGCGTGGAGTCTCCATGTTCTCCCCGTGCAGCGTGGGTTCTCTCCGGGTTCTCCGGCTTCCTCCCACAGTCCAGAAACATGCTGAGGTTAATTGGTGATTGTAAATTGTCCGTAGGTGTGAATGTGAGTGTGCTTGGTTGTCTGTCTCTAAGTGTAGCCCTGTGATAGACTGGTTACCTGTCCAGGTGAACCTGCCTTCACCCTGAGTCAGCTGGGATAGGCTCCGCCCCCCATGACCCTGGTGAGGATTAAGTGGTGTGTAGATGATAGATGGATGAATTAGACCCATCCTGCTCCCGGTGAGCTAACCTGGGGCTAGCTAACGGTTAGCGGCTAGCGAATAGCAGCATTAGCAGCGAAGACCTCGGTAGAGAAACTGCATCAGCGCCGGTTAAATATTTTCCCGCCACATACCCTCCAAAACATAAAACAAGGTAAGCAGGTAGGGGGCCGTTCCTGTGTTCTAACGCTGGACAGAACCGTGCGGTCCATCATCTACATACAACCGGATCCATCCTGACAGGTGCAGCAGCACCAAGCAGCTGCAGTCCTGCTCTCACATCCCAGCACATGCTGTGTGTTGCGCTGTGTTTCTTTGCAAATGGAAGTTTTTTGTACAATGTCAGAGACGCAGAGCACCTGAGTGAGGAGGCACCTGAGTGAGGAGGCACCTGTATGCAGGGCGGTCAGAGCAGTGGCCTCGCCCTGATCCAGCTTTTACCATCTCTGTGGTTTTCCTGGACATGAACCTGTCAGAGCATCCAGGAGGAGCTCCACAGGCCTGCAGGTGGATGATGAGGAGATCTGATAGATTCATTTAAATCATGTTCTGTTCATGACGTTGTGCTGCAGCCTCAGACTTGAACAGTGTGTTTCATCGTAGCTGCGCTCCTCCTCCTCCACGGGATTGCACCTCAATGAAATAAATCAATAAGCTACCATTCAAGCCGTTTTCCTGTAATATTGTTGTGATCAAAGTGTTACACCCACTCAGAGACGAGCTTCACAGAAGATGCAAACGGATAAATAGCATCTTTTAAAGCTCGGTGATGAGTCAGTCCATACAGCATCTAGCCTCACCGAACCCGACTCCAGTTTCACTCTCATGCCTGCTGCAGGGTGGAGCATAGTTCCCATAACACCACTGCAGTCGATCAGTCACACATGTGCCTGCTTTCACTGCACACTCACTCTGGCCTTCAAACAGTCCTCTGACAGAGGGCACACCTGAGGCCTCCCTGACTGCCTGGAGTCACCTGGGAACAGGTGATAAGGGGGAAGCAAGCTAGCAAAAACGAAATTAACACACAAACATGAATAAAGAAAAGAATAACTAGTCCGCCCCACGGGCATCACCCGGCTCTTTCTGCCCAACAGCGGCTCACTTGCCAGGACGGACTGGACAAAAGCAAGAAAACCCCCAAAAAGAAAAACTCCCCAAACAAGTGATTCCCGGCCAGAGCAGCGCATGGACCACGGAGGTCTGGAGGGAAACAACCATCAGCAACTATAAAAACGCTTTATTACACAAACTGTTCAAATGTAGAGCGATATAGAAACGACCCGGCTCGGTAGTGAGCTGCTGCCTTCAGCACAGCAGTGGAGCGGATCTCCATAGAACAACAGTAAACGTACTGCGCACCAAACACGGAACCATTACAAAACATTTACACACACAAGGGCAGAATTTGCCGACTGGTTTCTCTTCCTGCACCTCGTGCCTCCTGCACCTCGCCAGCGTGACATGAGCTGTGCAGCCACCGGCAGAACATGGGTTCCTCCTGCAGGTGACCACCTGTAGCGCCTCTGATGGCCACGCCCACCACCTGCCACAAAAGGACCAAACGTACGCACCGACCCGAGCAGCCATGTTCTCCACGCCGTCTCTCTCTGTGTTGCGGCTGCAGCAATGTTGCACTTCTTTTTAAAAACATGTTCAAACTCGAGCGCATTCAGGTTTCCAGTGGCCGTTGCCGTTGCCATGGTGACTGGTGGACTCGGGGCTCTGTTGATGCTGGCTGTTTGTGGTGCACACGCTGGGCTCCAGGTGAAGCTACTCTGAGTTGACTAAACTCACTCTGATCCACGGTTCTGGAACTGGAAACTCAGCGTTTCCTGTCCTGAGTTCAGGATCAGACTGAGTTTGGTGAAGCGGAGCCCTGCAGGTCTCTGCACCACAGACGGCATCAGAAAGACATCATCATGTAACATGTATGTAATTATTATGATCAACAAACGTGTTTCTCTGGATTGAACGAGCAAACTGCAAAGGAACTAGAAGCTAATGTCGACACGTAGGCCTCAACATTGTGGAGTAAATATATGAAGTAGCATTAAACACATGAATGTTGGGTCAACGTTGGGCTGAACTCTGAGCTGCAGCGTGTTCTGGTTTGACTTGAACCTGTTGTCCAGCTGATGGTGGTTCAGGAGGATCTGCTCATGTTCTGGTCGGTACTGTAGTAACTGGACGGATGTGTTTAGTGGTGGAGGGTAGAATGGGAGCTGGTGGAGGGCTGAAGCTGTCCTGCTGACTCCCACATGAAACACTCTGAAGCTTCATGAGGAGAAGAATCACGTTCATGTCAGTGTTCTGTAGAACCGCCTCCTCCAGCAGAACCTGCAGCTGTTCCCTGATCTGCTTCAACAGGACGCCGCCGCTGCTCTTCACCGGCTGCCTGCTGAGTCTTTGCAGCTCAGAACACCTGCTCACCGTGTGGACACAGCAGGGCGAACGCTGCGGTGGGAAACCTGCAGGTGGCGCTGCTGCTCTGACGCTGCCCTGAAAGGACAAAGTGTCTGAGCAGATTTAGAGTCCTGCAGCTGCCGACACCTGAGATGAGCAGCTGGTCTGTTGCAAAACCCCCAAACTGTGGGACAGAAATGGACCGAGAGCAGCAGCATCAGGCCCAGAGCCGCTCTCAGCCCTGATCCGGTCAGACTCAGCCTCAAGCTGCGATGCACCGAACTTTAAAAGCAGCTTTACGTCAGGAAACATGAAACCTCAGTTCAGTTTGAGAGTCCTGCCCCTCAGAGTGTGTCTGCTGAAGAAATGAGCAGCAGGATGAACATTGACTTTCATCAGTTGTTTCTGATTCAGCAGGATTTAAAGTACAACGCTCCTGAAACATCCGTCGGCCGTTTAAACTGATCAGAACTTTGTTTGTCTCACACCTTTTAGAAAACTGTTGAGGTGCTTTGAACTTATGATGAACTAGATGAAGACTAGAGAGAAATTCAATGACTGAAACAGATCCCAGACGTGTCATAGAAGCAGTAACATGGACTGTGATTGGCTGTTACCAAAGCTCACTGCAGTTTTATTTACAGTGATTCTACTGAAAAATTCACTTATTAGGGATTAAAACAGTAGAAACTCTGCACTAGCTGACAGTAACCATGACGATAATGATGCTGAGGCGTCACAACTGTTAATGAGAAGCAACAAGCTGACCAACGTGAGGAAGTTCTAACCCACAGAGCTTCATCTGAGGTAGTCGTTGAACATCACGGAGACACACCTGATGGGCTACAAGGAAACTCTACAACATGGTCCAGCGGTGACGAAAACATGGCATCATGTTGGCTGAAGAGCTGCCAGCAGGCGGCGTTCAGTGTTTAGTCTGAGTTCAGTTTGACCGACGAGGGAGAGAAACATTCAAGTAGTTAAACTCCATCAGAGACGCCTCTGATTGGACGCCTCTGATTGGACGCCTCTGATTGGACGCCTCTGATTGGATGCCTCTGATTGGACGCCTCTGATTGGACGCCTCTGATTGGACGCCTCTGATTGGACGCCTCTGATTGGACGCCTCTCTTCTCTCCCTTTGTGTCGTTTTCTGCCAGAAGAAACTAATTAATCGATTAAAGATTCACCGTCAGTCAGGATGTGATGTTTGTGAAAACGACAGCAGAACTTTCATTAGTTTGTTTTTGTTTTCAGTGTTCCGTTTGGATGTAATCCAGAAGTAGTCTGATTACATGATTGTCTGATCCGGTCGTTACTTTACTTTTGCTGCAGGTCTCATGAGTTTAAATCCAAACATCGAACTGCTCCGTGAGTATAGAAACCAAACGAACAGCGTGTTTTGTCTGGGCTGCTCGGTGGTTAGCATCTCGGTGGTTAGCATCGTCGCCTCACAGCTAGAAGGTCGCCGGTCGGCGTCCCAGTGAGGACATCCGGGATCTTTCTGCGTGGAGTCTCCATGTTCTCCCCGTCCCTAGAACCTGTGGACTCCAGGTTCTGGTTCCTACCAATGATCCACATCAACATTTAGTCTATACATGTAAAAACTGATCCTTGTCTGGTCCAGCTTCACCACATCAGGTTCTGCTGATGTTAGAGCCTCAACAGTTGGTGAAACGTGGATCCATCCATAGATAGACACTGACAGGAACCTTCTGGATCAACACCAGGCTGGTGGGAGATGTTCTACCTTTTCTCCATTTGTAAGAACCAATGATTAAACTGTGTCCTGATGGATCCATTCAGTGGTTCTGATGGAACCGTTCTGATTCTCCGCTGGCTTCATGTCCGCTCGAGTTTTATTTCTGGAGATATTAAAAATCTTTAAAATGACTTCAAGGTATTTTTTTGAGAGTGAAAATCAAAAAGTTCTCAGGTGTGAAAATGTCAGAAATTCTAAAAATTCAGGTTTTACCAAACGTAGGTTCTGGTCCCGGATGACAAATCAGTAACCCGACCCGAGTCTGGGCCTGTGGAGAAACGCTGCTGTCTGTCCCAGGCTGGTCTGCTGTGTATTCTTCAGGTCTGCTGGACGTTCTCATGTTTGACGGGCAGCAGAGGACGGACTCCACCGGAACCACCTGAGAAGAGAGTCGAGCAGTCGGCAGGTAAACGAGCTTCTCTGGACGTTTCCTCCTTCTGTTATCAGTGAATCATGATCAGTTTCATTTAACGTCTACAAAGAATTTAAAAACACAGACTTCCTCACGTCAAAGTGAAAACAGATTTCTCTGATGACATCAATTAAAGTTAATTATTAAGTGGTTCCATCAGGGTTCTCCTCCTCCAGCCAGTGTTCAGCAGATGGACCTTCAGCTCCATCGCTGGTCCTGTTGGTCTCCATCAGCCTGAACATCTGGACTTCACCTCATTCTGATGAAACTGTTCAGACTCTGTCAG